GTGATAAATTGCCAGTGCTTATTGATGAGTTTGATGCCTGAGTCTGAAGTGATCTTGCAAAAGTAGCTGATGTTCTTAGGTCTAAACTCTCAGCATCAATTGAAGCAGGTGCACTGATTAAAGCATGTCTGCTCTGTCCTGAATTGAGAGAAATAGGTGGATGTCTTTGACAGCTGCCACCCTGAAGGTCAGTGGAAACACTCACTGTGCCTTTTGTCAACCTAGTTGAGGGCAACTCTTGTTCTGCATTCTGACCTGACAACCGGCCCTGTTTATGATTAGAAGGATTCTCTGTAACATTTTTACTGAACAGTTCAGATAAAAATCCTTGCTTGGCAGTTTGTGGAAGAATTTTCTCTTTCACTGCATGTTCTTGTGGCTGTTGGGTTACACTAGTGTGCAACTTTGTTTGAAGTGGGGTCTTTGTTGTGACTGTATTTTTGGCATTTTGATGCAGTAATTGTCCTGTCAATGGCTGGCTACTTGTATCAATGTTTTCAGACGATCTTGTTAACTTGTTAAATAATCCTGAGAGAACTCCAGCACTTGCGGTTTCTGACTGTGTTGCATTATTGTGGCCACTTTGCACTTTGTCTTGTTGTGTCTCATGGATGATTATGGGCATTTGTTGTTGGGCCACATTTTCTGAGGAGGATTTGAATAGTCCAGAGAGAAGGCCATGACTTGTTCTTTGTCCTGAGCTATTTTGTGGTTGATTTTGGAAGGATGATGGGTTGTTTCTTGCTTGCTCATAACTTGATTTGCTTGGAGTAACTGCATGCAACTGAGCCGTTGGCTGTTTTTGTGTGTTTATGTTGTCTGCTGAAGCAAATTTAAAAAGGCCAGATAAAAGAGTACCTTGCTGGGCTGGTGGTTGCTGGAGTGGAACCGTTTGTTGACGGGTAAAGCCTGGTTTACTCGTCTCCTGCTGGACAACTTGCTGACTCAATGCTGTGTTCCTAAGATGAGGCCCTTGGTTTGGAGTATTCTGTTGGTTGAAATCTTTTAAGTTACTTTGAAGACTGCTTTGTTGGTGATCACCTGTTTGTGCGCTTGATATATTCTCAGATGATGTAAACTTTAGCAAGCCTGACAACAGCCCCTTTTTCTGAGGTTGTTTTTGAGTTTCATCAGAGGCCTGCTGATGATCAGAGTAATTGTCAGCAATGTTCCTTTGCTTTTCAGCTTCAGAAAGCTGTGTGTTACATGGTATATCTTCTGTTGATGAATACTTCATTAGCCCCCCAGCCTGTGAAGCTGATGAACGTTGTTGTGGGGAAGGTTGATGATGAAACTGTGAGGGGCTGCTCCTCTGTGATTGATTGTTATTGAATACCTGCTGTGGCGAACTCCCTTTTAGGTCACTGGTGGAGCCTAAATTAAACAGTCCAGATAGCAGTCCTCCTTGCTTGGGCTGATTTGAGCCTGAATGTGAGATATCCTCAGCAGAGCCTCTTTTAAAAATACCTGTCAAAAAACTTTGTGATTCAGTCTGATTAGGAGCTTGATGCTGCATCCCATGAAGGGCTGCTGGTGGTTTCTGATTTGTTGCATGTTGTGAAAGTGAGCAAGATGGCACTGTGCTGTTCTGAGATTGCTGAATATTGGTTAAAATTGGATTTGAACCAGAGGGAACAGAGGTAGGGTTAAATATGCTTGACAACCATCCTTTCTCTGAGTTTTCTTGTGTTAAGCTGGCAGAGGCTGTCAAAGTTGAACCATGATATGATTGCCCAACATTTTGTGTGTTCATTGTGGCACTAACATCTTCACTGGATGCAAACTTTAAAAAGCCAGACAGCATTCCTCCTTCTGCTTTGGGATGTTGTTGTGTGGAGACATTTTCAGAAGATAGGAAAGGCAGTTTAAACTTACTACTCAATGATGGGTCCTCAACTGGTTTCTCCAGTCGAGGTTCACCAGTTGATCTGAACACTGGATAAACTGCCATAGGTGGAGCTCTGTGAGGTAGCACAGGAACAGCAGGAGTGATTAATGAATTTAATGAACTGATGAATCCAGGATTGGTTGACTGTGTTAGGCCTGGTGTCCTTGCTGGTCCCTGAACAGGTCCAGTTCCCTGTTTGTAATTTTGATGTTTTTGTCGTTCATATGTGTTTTCATCTTGTTTTTGTCCAAAATTTTTCTCTTGTGATGAAAATCTTAGCTTTTCTGATTTTCTATTGTCAACTGCTGCTACAAACTGTTTACCTTGATTTGTACATTTGTCGTCCCAGTGTGTTAGGCTTTGAGTATTTGCAGACTCTGTTTCCTGTTTGTACTCTGCCGAGTTTCCATTATCACCTGCAGAAAATAGCTTTAAAGGATTAAATTTCCCCAAGACTGCATTTCCTGGAGTACTTTGAGATTTTGAAGCAAATTCAGGTACATAGTCATTTTTACTTGTTTGAGTCTGACTCCCCATGGGAGCTTTTGTTCCTTGATAATGACCTTGTGTCTTGGCATCATTTGATGGCTGACGTGGCACAGAACTGAATGACTTTTCAGGAGAAGGTTCTACTGGAGATACAACAGCTACAGGAGCTGTGCTATTTGATTTAGGAATAAAGGAAAATATTTTTGTAAGTCCAGTTTGTGGAGGTTGGGCAGATGGTGCTTGCGGACTCTGGACAGGCTGTTTCAGGCCTCCTCCAACTTTGTTAGTGAAAGAAGAAAATAGTGAGCTCATGGCATTCTTCACTGGATTAGTCTGGTCAGATGGAGTGTGTGATTGGGTATCTCGTCTTGGATCTTTTAAACTATTATGGTCCTCTCCAAAAGAATCAGTTCTAATGCTACCTTGAGAAGATAGCCTAGATTTGCTTGATTTAGGAAGGGAGCCATACTTGCTTATCTCCTCTTCTTTTTCAGCAAGGTATTCAGAGACTGTTTCAACAAGACACTGAAGCTCATCCATAGGGTCTACGTATTCATCACTGGGTTCTTCTACAGGAGACAGCATTGCCTCTGAAGCCCAACCACCAATCTTAGCTTTACCACACTTCTTCTCTCTGAGACCTTGAGAATTTTCCATGTGACCCTCGTATGAATATAAGTACTTATCTTTGTAATGTCTTGCATTCTCTGGTTGGAAATCAATCGGTTTAAAGGCAAAATCATCAATATCCTCCTCTGCTCCTATAGGGAAGTGCATATCATCAGAATTCTCTAAATCAAAATCAAACCTGTCCCTCATTCTAGCATCTTGCTCTTTCTTGTATGCCACATAATTTTCCAAAGTGCTGTTCAGCTCATTCTTAGCCCACATCCTTGTCTTGTAGAGGAGCCCATTCTTGTATGGCCTGAGGCATGAACTCAGACGCTCCTCCTCTTCCTGCATCTCTGCAACCTGTCGCATGAACAGCTCCCCTCTCTTCTCACGGGGCAGTGCAACGTTAGAAGGTAAAGCCTCTTCTCTCATTTTGTTTGGACCGAGCAACCCTCCCGGGTCCCTTATCTTTTTCTTTCTCCGCCGATCAATAGTGTCATAACCTTCAGGGTATGTGGCAGGCAGAAAACCACTACGTTGAGTATTTTGATTGATGTGTGATGGCTCAGGGTAAGGTCTTCCCATTCGAAGGATAACATTGTCTTCTTCTTCATCTAAGAAGTCACTCAGCTGCGGCTTGCACTGCCCTTTGTATTTGTTTTCCCAATCTTCAACCCCCATGCCAGAATCTACAGGTATAATTCTGACCCTTCCTTTATGGTTTAATGATCTAATTTAGGTTAAGATAAACAGGAGTAAAAATAGGATGGGAAAGGAAACAGAGACAGAAAAAAAGAAGCAAACAAACAAGAAAAAATGAAGAAAAGTATTATGACAAATGATACATGTGCAAGGTTAACAAATGTATGTGTATGCAACTGCTAAACTACATTTGCTCCTATATGTGCCTCTGTGAATTTATATTTCTGTAAATCCCAACAACTGTCATTCCTATCTTCACTTCAAGTCTCTCTCAACCAGCAATATTCATTAGAAGTGCAAGCAACATTGCCACCATATGGTGTATAGAGAAACATATCATAATCACCAAAGAACTACATGTCAGACCGTCAACAACTCACTCCCATGATGTGTGACGGAGGGAATTTCTCTGGGATGAAGCTAAACCAAGAAAATAGCCTTGTCTATCAGGAATTTAACCAGCACAGCAATCCCTCAAGACAAACAGAAGTATGTACAAAGATCTTCCCAGAGCTGTAAACCCTTTTTTTTTTTTATGTGCTGCAAAATTACTAGGACCAACTCTTCAACAGCCCTTACAGGCACATTTCAAGCAGTCTTACCAGTAAACAGTATTCTTTAACAGTCCACTGGCAATTAAAAAAAGAAAGCTGACAAGAGCTGAATATACTTCAGTGCTTTGGCTGAGAGTAAAGGGTGTGGGATAGTAAACAGTATTTAAACAGCAGAAGACCTTTCCACCACGGCAGAAATTAAAGCTTGCTCAAGAAGTTGACCTTCTTGGTTATTGAAACTATTGGAACACAAAAAGGAAGCACGAAAATTGAGACTGCTTCTGCCAGTCTAAATCTCAAATGGATGTCACTGACAACACATTTCAGAGGGAGAGAGAAATTGAAAAACACAGAAAAAAGAGAGAAAAACACAAGTGACTTTTGAGTAAGCAAGTAAAACCCAAACTGGTGAGATATGGAAATAACATTGAAGGCTTTTTCCTTTGTTATTTACCTTCATTGAGCTTGTTAAGTTCAGTTTTTGCTGACTTTTGTTGAGGCATTGATTCAACTCTGGTCATTTTTGAGACTACAGTTATGTGCTATGTTTTATAAATTACACAATGCTGGGAAACAAACCCTTTTTTATGCATACATTCTGAAACTTTTGGTTAACGTTTTGTCAATGATCAGTCCACTGCTTTCAGAGTACACTTCTTGCGTTTGAGACAAAGTGAGTGTTCCATCTAGAGTTATTGGGTAGTGGGACTGAGCGAGTGAATAAGTGTATGGGTGACTGTGGATATGTTGTGTACCTGTTTCCTCTCTGGTCCCTGAAGTCCAGGTCTAAACTGTGGACAGAGTCTGTGCAGGAGTCTGGGTGGTGCTGCTGCCTAGGCCCCATGGGATACTGGTGCATGGACGAGTTGGGCTGAGCAGTTGTGTGGTAACGTGGGGGCAGACTGTTACTCGTCTCACTACGATAGTCGCTATCCCGGTCATCCACAGCACTGTCCTGGTCATCCAGAGCTGCAACAGGCAAATCGCTGAGTTAAATATATTCACCTCTCATGCTTTATGTAAGACAGCAAGCTTTACATATTTTTGCTCACTATTAACCCAAAGTGGAGGATGCAGCCTTGTTAGAGTTTTAAGTATATGGACCAAATTGCTAAGAGATGCCAGGGGATTCTCGCTTGAGTGGAGAAGAAGGCAGAAGGAAAACATTTACAATAATAAACTGAGCCTAATACATGCAATGTCTTCTAAATGACAGACATCATTGCACTTATACTTAGCCTATAAATACTTTAGCAGTGTCATTATTGCATTAATAGACAGCATACACAGATATGACTGCAATTTTTACCAAACCGAAAATAGTAGTATATAGTATAGTATAGTAGTATAGTATACATTTTTTAAGTACAGTTGTGGCCAGAATTAAATGCATGAGAGGAAATTAGAGAAGTTAATGTGAATAGAACTTTTATTTAACACTCTTTTGAAATTGAACCTACCAACCCCAGTTAATATATCTAGAAAATGTATCTCAAACAGTAACCATGACTTGGAGGGAACGGTTTGAGTCAGAAGGAGAAAGATAAATCTCAGTTGATGAATCTCAGAGGTTAGGTTAGTGCGATGCACACACATAAATATAGTTTGTCAAAACAGATACCTATCAGTTTATGGAGGCATATGCCATTTACAAACTTTAAGATCATATGGCAAACAATAGTTTAGCAAGCCTTTAACATTCAAATATGAATAAAATAAATGAAATGACGTAAAGGATGTCGATAACTCATCCAGAATACTGCACTTAGATTTGTACAAAACATTTTTTGTATTAACTATACATGGGTTATGAAAATATTGCCATCAGCACAGAGCAACGCAAATAGGGAAACATCAAGAGCAGGAAGAAGGTAGAAATATCAAATGGGCTTAAGGAAAACACCAAGGGAAATCAAGTGTTAGAGTGACATAATGATGCATGGTAACCTTGAAGGTTAAATGTTATCTGAGAATATGGGGCATAAGTACATGCAAGGGGAGCAGAGGATTGGTCAGAGGGAGAATTTGATCAAAGTGGGTTTTACATACTCAGTGGGTCAGCCCATCCGAAATAGTTGCCTGGTAAAAGTGCAGATGTTACAAGTGAGAGGTAGAGTCAGAGGATGTAGGGGTTGTGAAAACAAAAAAAAAGTGCCTCTATGTTAATATAGTAGGTGGATGTGTGGTGATTGATGTTTTTAGAGTGGAAAAAGAAACTTACAAACTGTCACAACAGTAAGGAGAATTAAATTGAGCTCATACTGTCAATATATGAACCGTCTGGGTTTAAAATGTATAATCTTCATTTTCAACTCTGATAAAGAGGATTAGACTGTTACTACAGTAGGCAATACAAACGGGTGAAGGAAGTGAGAGGAAAAAATAATAATAGTAAAGCTTTAAAGCTACAATGGTGGAGAATTGCCTCCATCTAGAGGAAGAGAGATATATGGGCAAGCACAACTCACAGCACTGGGAGGTTGCAAACGGTAGTGGGCGACTCTGAACTTCATCCTGCAGAGGGTACTACAATGAAAAGAGGGAGAGAATAAAAATCAGGCATCAAGAATGATTTACATGTTATCACAATACTATTGGTCCAACAGGAATTTACTTGTACCAAAATTAATACAAATAAATACATGCATCTGTAATTTAAACAGGAAGCAGAAAACAGACATGTTTTTTTGAAACAAAGACAGTAAAAATCATCGCCTATATAAGCTTTCTAAACCGTTAAACGAGACAGAAACCAGCATGGCATGCAGTATGTTTATTATGACATCATGCAGTACAAGCTGTAAAATCTCACTACTTTACCTGATCGTGGATGTCCATGGTATTGATGCGATCCAGCTTGCCAGTCCAGTACTGCGCCTCATCATCTGGGATGTCTGTTACCCACAAACATACATGTGAACCTGTGTTAGAAGTAGGGCTGAATCCTAACAATGATTATTTTGATCCATATTAAGATCACAATTCTGAAACCAAGATTACTCATTGATTTTACAACATCTGCATCAAATGCACTTATTGAACTTAACAACTTAATATTCTGAACACTTTGAAGATCAGAGTAATCAATATACAAGTATATCATCTTGATAAATAAATCAAAACAAAATAACTGTGTTTTTTTTGTGATATTGGTGATGTACTCTTGTGGCCAAAAATATAACAACAAACATTTTGAAACATTTACCACACATGACAAAACCTGTGATCAAAACAAGCGCAATATTGCATCACAATAATTGTTTCATCTCGTTAATCTTGTTTTCTTGATTGTGGGAAGCCAGAATTGTGACTGAAATTGAAACTCGATGAATTTCCCAGCCCTAGTTAGCCCTTCATCCTCTGTATTCAAACATCTCGTATCAAAATGGCATCATTACACTTTAATGCCTGTGTCACTTCTCATGAGCCTCTTAGGAAAATAAAAAGTTAGCAAAGGCCACAAACTTGTTTAGTGACCAGACATATCCTTATTTTCTTTTTTTTTATTACAGAGTCAAGGATATAAAGACAAAAGATGCTATGGTTGTGACTTAAAATAAACAATCCCAACAATCCCTGGTGGCGCAGTGGTTAGCACGCGAGCCCCATGTATGGAGGCTGTAGTCCTCCAAGCGGGAAGCCCAGGTTCAAATCTGACCTGTGGCTCTTTTACTGCATGTCATTCCCCTCTCTCTCTCTAATTTCTGACTCTAGCCACTGTCCTATCTCTCCAAAAGAAGCCCAAAAATAAATCTTATAAAAAATAAACGAGTTTCCTGTGCAAACAGCCAGATAATGTGGAGACTTGTACAACATACAGCGTTCTCAAAACAAAACCTAAAAAAGCTGTTATGAGGTATTCTCACCCATGCCCACTGCTATGATTTTTACCGCTCTGTCGACAGATGCACATTAAAAGGCCACACACACAAAGGCCAGGGCTTCAAAGACAAACCGACTGAGCTGTAATGAATGGCTCTGGTGGCACAGATAGTCCTGATGGCCTCCTGCAATCTTGAAAGGTTTCCTCTTTAAACAGGAAAAGAGGATCTCTCCCACTCACTGGACAGACAGCCTACTTCAACTCTGATTGCCTTTAACCACAAGGCGTGAGCCCTGTAAGCAGTGCTGGAGAAAGAAACACTGATTACAGTGTACTTGAGAGGAAGAGGGGACATTTCCACCTAGAATGGATCACCTGGAATCATGAAATCTGGAACCATTGATATGGTCTCTTATTCAATAGAATTGACGTAACAGTTAATAAAGACAATACTGTAAAGCTCTTTTTTTTATCCACACAGTAATGATATATCAGCAATAAACCGGATCAATACATCTATTGTGATGCTCTTTGCTTTCATCAAAGACTTGTCTAAATGCAGGCAGCTGTTTTCAGTCAAATACCTCTGATAAATCCACTGTACACTGTCCACCCAGGCAGCAGAGATACAAAGTAAGCAAATGCTGGTAAATAAAGTTGTTGCAAAGGGGGAAAAAAAGGAGAAGGATGGACAGAAACATAACACCATGTATGCATGTACTGTATGTAATGTGTCTAAGGATGCTTCTATTCAAGTCATAAAGTAGTGAGCAGCTGATGAACCTTAACATATCACATTCATACTATGGTTCTTTAATTCTGTTATTATCAGTGTCCTGTTATATTCCATGTTGACTCAGCATTTTATTTTGTATTAAATGGAGGCTGCGAAGAGCATCAGTCAGGGATCACTATTGTTTCTCCAAGGCTGCTATATTCAGTACATCTTACCTTACCGTTTAGCAATATTAGCAAAACCAATCGCCCTTCGGGGACAAATAAACTTGAAGGTGAAGTGGGGCAACATTGTGGCATGGACAAAATTATATTTACTGAGCCTAAAAAAAAGGATCTGCCAGTGATGACTCCATGCCAATGAAAGGCTTTATATGTGATTTTTTGATCCAGCAGATGTCGCCCTTGAGCACCAGCATAAAACAACTCGCGGTGCATTGTTGTGTTAGCATGCTAATGCTAGCGATCTTTATTATACTCGTATCTTCACACTGCATGTAAATTTACCTGAAATGAGCGTGATCTAGAAACACAGTTAAGCAGTGAGTACAGTATGTTATTCTTCTTTTCTCTAGTCCCTCAATTAAACGTCCCAGCGATGTAAACAAAGTGAAGATAGGACTCTGAAAACTCTGAAAACATCACAGACAGTGGGACTCGGGTGTTACACCCATTGTCGACAGTCATGACTCACAGAGTTATTTTCAGAGGATATACTTGATTTATATTACATTTAAGTGTAAAAAAATCACATATAAAGCCTTTAAGCAGGACAGAAACTCTTCCTCCCCACTGGAATGAGATACAGACTGGACAGCAAGACATGAATCTTCTATTCCCTTTTTTGTAGCTATAAACTGTTGAATATAGGTTTTCTTCTTCACATGATGCAGGTTGATGAGTTATATCAGGTATGATTAAATCCCATACAAAGGAAATAAAAGTGAGCCCATTCTCTTCTCATGTAAAATACTCTTATTTTCTATTTGAGTGGAGTTGTCAGATCAATGCATAAGACTAAGTGCTGCAGGGTAAATAGTTTGTCAGAAAGTGCCTGGTGACATTTCAGCTGAATCCATTGGTGGCCTTTGTGTGAGTCAGTAGATCAAGGTTTGCCCTGAGGTAACCAGAATTATTAATGTGGTCTGTGTGTTGCTAATGCACCCAGTGTAGCCCGAGCAGGTACATGATGTGACAGCATTGAGAGAGATCTTACATAAGCATGTGAACTTTTAGAAAAGGCAGATTACTCATTGGTATACTGAAGGTTAAGCATGTAAAAAACAGAGTGATTGACAGCTCTGATATCTCACCAAAAGGTAGCTCAAAGCGAGTATCCAGCAGGACCCGATGAGGTGTTGGGTTTTTTGTGCCATATATCTCATCGGCCTTCATCAGGACCTCTGAATCCAGGAAGATCCAGTCTCCTGATCCCTCCTGCAATGACATACATTTATTGATATTAACCTTTCTTTATGTGATCTTCTTGTGTCTATACTTAACACTTTGTGCCATTATTATAATTTCCTGAGGCAGGTTCACTTGTTTTTTTTTTAAATTAATGTACCAGTAAACCTTGTTGTTTTGATCAGTATTATTTCGAGCAATCAACACTAAAGGACCGCTGTATCTAAATATCTCTTATTAAGAAAGATGTTGCTGAATAAATAAATAAAATTACAAAATGTATTTGTGTAAGTAAGCAAATGCTGGTAAATAAGTATAATACATAAAAAATGAAGAGCTGAATTTTTTATCCGCAAATGAAAAATCTATATTCATGTCAGCATGCAAACGCCATAAAAGGACCCCGTTTCCAAATTATTTTTATTTCAAAGTATTTCTTTAAATGACATCTACATGTTTCCAGACTATATAAATGTATGTATCTGTGCATATTCCAACCTCCTCTGATTGCTGGACACTCTTAAGAGGGATCCATGCTGTCCCCACCATGGTGTCCCAGATGAGGCCTTTGTTCCACACCTCCACAATGAGCCCGAGGTCAAGCCGGTTGATCTCACTGAGAAGAAAAAAGGTGGTATTAACATGTTAACGTGTCACGTTTTGGTGGTGGGGGGGATCATAAAAGTGTGGGAAATGTCAGTTGGATTCAAAGAGACATAAACTATCTGTGTGGTGCCCGACTGAAACACGCCCAATGCCATTTAATTCAACCTCAATGAACCAGAAAGTGTCTACACAATTACTGCCAGGCTCTACCACTCGCTGATAACAAAGGCCACTGCCTCTTTCTGTTGTGTGTTAGGGTGTTATAGGCCTTGTTTTGTCATTCAGCATGCGATTCAAAGAGCTCAAAAACAGCTTGCTGACAGCAACAAAATGGCATATCAAATTTGAAAGGGGCCCCGTGACAAGGGCTGGGGGGATTTGCATATTGTCCTCTGCAGCAAGTTATAACTATGGACAGGCTAAACAAAAGGAGGATGAGAGAAAAGATAATCAAAGAGAACAGCTAATTGAGAGAGGGTTGAGTATCCACAGTGTCCAGGTGCCGAGATGTAAGCTCTCTGAATTATTCACTCATTCAAAATGGCACTGAATACATGAATCAAGGCAAGGCATTGAAATCTAACTGGTGCTCATTTTTTTCTCAGACATCTGTTGTTTGAAATGATATTTAAATTATGTTTTCCAATCGTGTCTATTTTCATGTAACCATTCTGGACCATAATGTGCTTTTTTGGATCAAAACACAGAAAGAGTGAATATAAATCCATCTACGTTCTTCATCTGTTACTTACAGATGCTCACCTGTTAGTTATTCCAACATGATGTGCCAAACTCATGAAGCACTTGAAATGGCTAGCAGAGTGCTATTTCAGTCACAAGGATGTTTTATTCAAAAAAGCAAGCTTGGGAGGGATTCATCATGGATATGAACTGGCTTTTACAACAGCAGATAGCACTGAATATAAGAACACTCACACACATGACAGTGATGACCAACAGCTGGGGAGGGGCTTACAAAGTCTAGAAAGCCTCTCATTGGACGCAATCTATATATAATATAACAAAAAGCAGTTGGCTCAAATATTTGGGCTGTCATAAATATACCCACTTTCATGGATCATCAAATCCTTATGGGTATACTTTTAAAGTCGTGAAAGCTGGAATCCCACACAAATAGAGAAAAATCCCATCCCTGCTCTAGACTTTACATCACTTGTCTCTGTTTTTAGTCACAATCATGCATATCTTATTAGAAACATTCAGCATGCTTTCTGACCTGCGATTGCATGAAATCATGTCTGATAAGTTTAAATTAAGGTAGATTTGTTTAATATAATATACAGTATTAACAGAGAATGGAAAAAGAAGAAACATTGTATGTCCTGATAAATCAAAAAACACTCGAGCTCAACTTTCAACTGACAATATCTTGCTTTCTTAATTTTCTAAATGGTAAATGGATTTGGACTTGTATATGTTCTAGTCTTCTCTGCTTCTTCACTATCAACCTTAATGATATTAGAGTGGTTTTGATCTTCTTGGCAAGAAAGCGGATACATGTACAACTTTTTAAAGTATTTTAAAATAACAAGCAGATTAATCTACAAGCAACCTGCTAAGGTTCACCATTTGGACATTCTCTTTTGAGACCAACTCATCCTCTTCTAATGTATTTTGTAGTAACAGGTGGTATTGGCAACACAGATGAATAACTATGTCGAATTTGACCGGGTCAACGCATCATTAACGGACAGAAAGAGAATGAAGGTCTGGAAAAACAAACAGTGTTGCAATGAGGGAGTTCACAAAAGACAAACAATGACACACATGAAACAACACAATCACTCAGCCGTCACCATAGATACCTGTCCAGGGAAAGTAAAATGAGCGATTAAACCAATGAATTAAAAGGAGGAAATGAACAGCAGCTACTTATTACTGTAAGGTAGTTTAACCTGGAAAAGGTTGCTCAGCGTGTTTTGAAAATTAGAACAGATCTAGGTAGAGGGTTTTAAAAACACATTAAATGATGCCTAAATTATTAAAATGAGTTACAAACTAAATGTGAAATGTAGCATTAAATATCTTATTAAGGTGTGTGGCCTTCATGTGCAGCATGGCAACACTTCTAGAACCCTCTGAACTCTATTGGAGGGTTGGTGGTGGTGGAGAGGACTGTGTAACACATTAAATGTAAGTATCCCATAGGTGTTGAGATTGAGATGTGGTGTTTGTGTAGGCCAGAGAAGTTGATATCATTTTTAAACTAATTTACCATCATCTCACCATTCAGTGATGTGTCACTGTGCTTTACACAAGGACAACAAACTACAAAACTAAAGCCTGGCCTACACCAAAACATTTGAAAATGAGAGACCCCACAAATAACCCATAATAATCATAGATCGCTTCCTAATAGGCTACCGTTCTGTTCAAGTGAAAGTCCAAGTCCAAAGAGTGCATGCTTCACTGTTCTCAGAGTTCACCCCACACAACAGGAGATTGGTGATATTCATCATAGTAAATCGGGGGGCGGCCCTGATGTCCTTCAGAGGACACACCTCGCACTACAGGATGTTCTGGCAGGATAATCTTTATAACCATCAAAAAACTCATGACTTTGCTTAAGATTGTCCCACGCTTAGCTGACAGTAACAAGGAACTTTGAATTAAATGGAACGCAACATGACTGCATGACTGTCAGTGAAGTCAGATAAACAACTTTAGAACCAGCGATATGAACAGCCTGCTACTGCTGCCATCATCTGTGACTGACACTTCAGCTAACATCTCTGTCAACAGCCAGCAGAGACATTCTGAATATGAGCTTACATTCTGTGTGCATTAACATTTTTATGACTCAAGACTACCCTGGACACATCTCATAAAGTTACCCTGATGAACACAAGTTATTGTCATTATTACTGTTGGGTTTACAGTTTGCATGTTGGGCTAAAATGTGAATCATAATGTATGGTGTACCCTGCCTGACGGTGCTTTATCTAATGCAAACTTTACATTTATTGTGATTGGTGGTAACATAATTAGGTCCATAAAAGTTGAAGCATGATACATCAATGTTTGTGTTTAATAACTTACAACATAAAATCCTGCTCCCAGCATGGCTGGTCCCCCCGCACAGTGATCGTGGTGCTTTTGACATTTTGCACCTTCAGCGTCACATAGCTGTTGAACTTGTCTGAAACAAAGGAATAGGAAGAAATAGTGTTCATTAAAGTGAGTAAGTAACATAAGGAGGATAAAAAGTACAGTATCTCTACATAAACATTAGATATTTGCACTACTGGGTAAAAGACACAGGTTTGAGCTTGTTTGAGTAGTTTTTCAATGGAATACAATTCTTAAAACAAACACATCACTAATTCTTGTTCAACTTTGTGAGAATGAAAAGGACATGAGAAGCTGAGAGACTGAAAGCAGATAATTCTCCTCCCCCAACTATGCCAAGCCAAGCCAGGACAGGCCATCAAACTGACCCTGATAATCTCCACAGAGAGGAGGCAGAAACAACTACAGCACTACAGGATCCAACTGACTGTTTGCCTGGTCTGCACTGTGAATTACAGATTCTCCTGAAATGATTCATAGTAAATACTCTCTATACTTAAAGTATGTAACAGAAAAGCAGGTTTGTTGATGATGTTATGAACTGGAAGTCACTTGTGACCTGCTTCTTTTTTTTTTTACACAAAGGTCTGCATCAGACCTGATACCATCAAGGCTGAAAAGGCAAATCAGTGAGGTCACACAGGTGAAGGCAACCTTTGAAAAGAGTATTCTACAAGCAAAGTCTTAATATAACAGAACATAATTTGTAGTCAATGATCTTTCTGAACTCCGTTTGTTAAAACTGGCAGTTGAGACTTGATTTCAAGTGAATATCTGTTAGTCTGTCAGTCTGTCGGTGTGTGTAGACAACTTTCACACCCAGTGAGCCCCGTCAGCCGTCTCTCAGCCGGTAATGTCGGACATTGAAGCCACAACAACCGTCTGCACCAGCTGTCAGTGCTGGGTGGGGCAAGGGGTGAGTGGGGTTGCAGGGGATTAGACAGCCCGTGACACAACCACCACTTTTCATTTCCAGCAGTAGGTTGAGGGAGTGTTGACACGTGCTGGCTGATGTGCTCAGATTCGCTCTGGTAGTTACTAGAACTGCGTCACTGGTGGTCCTTCCTGCAGGTCCCATTTGTCTAGCAGCTAGATCTGATCACCCGCATGGAAACACGAGTAGCTTGAAGAGCTGGAGGAACATCTTCTGCTGGTTGGCAATGTGATTTTTTTATTGATTTAGTGAATGGGCAATAAGGAACCACATTAAATGTAACTTCTGCACCCTTGGTATTATATAGGCATCATTTTAAAAATGGTGATATCTTAACAGAAAACCCTCACATTAAAATGTGATACATTTAGCATGCACTACCACACTCAATATTGTCCTAAAACATGTCAACCAATATGTCACCCTCAATGAAACTAGGCTGTATTATTAGATATATCTTATAACCAGGAGTAGAGCGGAATAAATACCAGCCTTACAAAATACAAAATGATTTCAGTTTCTGAAAGATCTTCACTTGTCACCTACAGCATGTGTGACCTGCACAGCATACCAACCCATGAGCTTCCAAAAGAAATCATTAAATAAAATCACAAGTCCTCAAACTTCTGTTTTGGCCTTAAAATAATGAGCCGATTAGCAAAGGAGTGTAGTACTTATCGTTTTGGTTTGAAACATTTCAAACAACCATCATTAAGAGCTTTTTATCCAACAGGTATAGTCAAATATAGAGCCCGACCAATAGGGGATTTTGGGGGCCGATACGGATATCGATATTAGGAAGAGAAAAAAATCTGATACTGCTAACATCCCCCCCCCACCACACATTCACACAGTACAGTCTAAACACAGTTGTTCACACACAGTGACACACAGTGCAGTGGAACACACACACACAAACACAGAATCCCCCTTTTGCTCTTTGGGAAATAAAAGCAAGGCATCAGCTGCTCGTTTATGGACCAATCACCTGACCACCCTAAACAAAGATTTTCCTGGTTACCCCAGCAACATATTAAAACATTTACTCTGCCAGAGGCTTTGACACAGCAGCCAGATAAGTAAATGTAACTCTAGACACAATGGGACAATAAACCATTTACACAGGTGGATTCTTAAAACATTTCACTGACACACTGCCTACATAGATTCAATTAGGTCTTAACGCAAAGAGGTGTATTGAAAGCACCAGAGGACATCCTAATGAGACAAAGACTAAATGCATTGTCTATCCTGCAAGGAGCACGAGTGACAGGACACAGAGCTAATTAGTGAAACGAGGGGACAGTAGCAACAAAACACAGGCATTACTAGAAAGGGGCCTGGGGGATACTCAAGCCTTTCCCTAATTAGATAGCCCATGACTTGTACCACATTTGGGCCTACTCCCATGAATAGAAGAGCTGAGATAAGGGAAGAGGATGTATGGATTAGATAAGAGCCACTTAGTGGCTATGGGCCCTTTACAGCAGGTGCCATCCACTGATACAATCTGCACTGTTGAGAAGGAAGCAGCAGTCACAGCTAGGAAAAACAGAAATATAAAATTAACACAAACAAAGAAACACAAGATTTGGAAAGTAATCCAGTTCAATTTAAAGGGATTTAGGATGTAGGTTTGGTAGTAGATTTTTAAACACAAAAGTTCACAGGTGGAGAATCAACCAGAACAAAATCTCTGTTGTTAGAGATGAGCTTGGCAAATGAATATCAGGGTCAATATAAAAGAGATATCACAAAGCGGTGAGAAGTCTTTTTTGTAGTAGTAACTAGGGCTGTCACTCTTGATTATAAATTGGGACAATCGATGAAACTTTGGGGGAAATATTCACATATACACCCTTTCATATTGTCAGCAGGCTTTAGACGCATAAACATTTTGGAATTTTTTCCAACCATGAAAACAGGAAACTCTAAAATGACATTATTATTATTATTATTATTATTATTATTATTATTAATAATATGAAAACTCCAGGTTTGCAGAGTTGTGGTGTCATCCTCTTCTTTTGTATTTTATTTGCATTGATATTATGACAATGAAATGGATGTATGAATTACTACCAAATGAATTTATTGGATGATATACACCTGTAAAGGCTGTCAAAATAAATAAAAAGCTGCTAAAAAAAGTGATTTCATATGTAGTACTGTAGTTATGGCATTATTTTTCAGAGTAATTGCATAATTATGCAATAAAAACAGAAAAAGGTAGCTCTGCTAATATCCTTGTTGGCTAATGCACACGCATGAGATAAAATCACATACCAACCTTTACCTGGACCTTCCTCTATCTTAGGAAAACTGTCCCACACAACTTAAAATCCATCAAAACACGCATGTCTTTGTGGATGCCTCTTTTTAGCTCTCTTCATTACGCACACACACACACTGTGCAAACACACACAGTGACATAAAGCAAACACAAAAGGTGACATAGTGAAAGCACAACAGTCTGCTGGTGGTTGTAAAGAGAATGGATCAGTTGAGGTGAACTGTGAGAGAGCGCAGGCTTCTTGTCCTGTCAATGTTTTCTGACAGGACTTGCCACCCACTCACCCCTGAGCCCTCAAGTCAAGTGTCTTCATCCATTATTGATTGATGATGAGTTTTTCAATAAATTAGTCAGGAAATGCACACAGTTGGGAGGCTGACATTTCAAATTCAGACCATGCATCAATATTGCATGCAACAGAAGACAGAAGTATTTGAGGGCTTTTCTGCCATTTCTGGGAGAGTACAGAACACTCTGCCATGAACATAAAGGGATTTCATGAAGCCTGTTTTCTTCTTGCAATCAGTGAAAAGTAAAACAGCTAGCCAGGGTCTGATCCAGAATGACCTGCAGTTACACAAGAAATGTTAGCCAAAAACAACTTAACACCAAGATAGGTGGTTTCTATGCAGGACGTAAAAGTGTCAATCTAAAGGTGTGGTGACAGCACAGTGCAAACACACATCCCAGACCAGCCTTATGTCAACTCTGAGGGCTCTTCTAATAAATCACACACCCCTATGACGAGAGCTTATCATTACATTAACACACTTATTTCCTTATACCTGAATCAACAACTGTTTCTTTCAAAAATCCCCACAAGAAGAGCAAGAAGGGTGAGGAAATGGCCAAACAAATACGCAAATCCAGCAATCTGATCTTGACAATCATTACCTTTGACTTTATCAGGTTGAGAAAATACTTTTTAGAGTGCAAATGTTAAGATTCTGTCAGACATTCCTTTCCATTTGTTCTGCACAGAGGAATTGTATCTATAGTTTAAGTTTCCTCTGGTGTGTTGCAATTGGTTTGTCTTTGAAAGAGGGGATTTTCTTTCTTTGCTGACATTTCCTTTAAGGATTCAAATTAGCAAGTAGCTACTTTAAGGACTGAAATGCTAGTCGTAAAGCATAAGCATAGTCAGAATTAGGGATAAATACTGTATAGTTTAATTTAAAATGAACACAAGAAACTTGTCCCCATAGAAAACACATGAAATTATCATATTGATGCAATGTATTTGTTTCTGTATACATTATCAGAGGTCTGTAAGGAAGCATAGGTTGACAAAATCAATACAATAATAACCAAAGCTTAAGTCAATAAAAATGTCTTTAAAAAAATAGTTTAAGCATGTTGATATGAGAAAACTTTATGTCAACTCTAACCTAGCTTTTTCCCCTAAACACCTCCCTCTCATGACCACCTTATGCATAAATGTACGCACATTTCAATAACAACAATCAACAACTTAACATTTGATTTTCTAAATCTCATTCAGTGCATAACAATTCCTTCCCTACCCCTGTAGTGTATGTTTACATTTTGCCTGAGGGAGACGACAAGCTTAACTGAATTATCCTTGGTGTTTGCTCTGGGGCAGGTGTCACATGTGCTGTGGCCTGGGAGAAGGGAGGGGGGCACATACAGACACAGATGACCAGCATCTAAAAAAAAACAATCTAAAACCAATATCTCAGCAAAACAGACTCCTTGTGACACAATGCAGACACATTGAAAAAATAGTGGATAACAGCTAAATAAATGTAAAGACTTAAGCAGTTATCTTCAGTGTACACAGTGTCATTCAGGGACCGACAGAGTAAAAGTCCAAAGCCGTGCTAACTTTCTCTCCATGCTGCCTGCTCCTGTTAGAAATGTCACATGGCTTAAAAAAAAGGCGTGAGGCTAAACACGAGAGGGATTTGCATAGGTGGAGAGCGAGGGGATTTGGACTAAGCAGCCAATGATCTAAGCTCACCTGTGTAGGGCCTGGGGTAGAAGGACACAGGATTACATAATGCAAAGTCAACCCACATTTTCAGTGACTTGCCAAAATTCCACTGATTAACCTACATTAGAAGATGAGTGCATGTTGAATATTTCCAAACAAACGACTCCATTAACTATTCTGCTTATCCTAGAGGGCTGTTGGGGACTGGGACCAATACCAGCTGGCACTGAACAAGATGTGAGGTGTGCCCAGGACAGGTCGTCAACATTTGAGATTTGCCAATTGACGTAAACCTGCTTGGACAACGAGAGGAGTTGGAGAGCATGCAAACAGGAAGGCTCAAGTCAGACAACTGGTAACAGTCTGCACTAGTTAGAGTGCAGGCCTGTGAAGAGGTCTAGCTCTATACTTGGCAATGTCATGCATATATCTGTAGATCACTGAGTGAGAGTTGTAGACAATATTACTGACCTTATAACATTAACGATACAGGGCACATAGGATAAACTCTGAACTACTATTCAAATGTGTGATTCACATCTTTCTGTTCTCCAGATCCAGGAGTGTGACAGTATTAGTGTTAAAGATGTGAAACATTCGATGATGAGACAGTGTGTGAACCAAATTTAAAAAAGAAAAACTGTGAAATAAAAAGCAAAAGTGGTACTCACCTGGAGGTCCTTGGAGCTTGGCTTTTTTCACTGCAAAGCAAAGTGGAAAATAATAATTAGAATCATTGAATTTGAGTTAGCTCATTTGGAATCAGCTGAAAATGAATGAAATGTCAGAGTTCAGCAGGACTATAAAAGTGGATGCACAACTGAAATGTTGAGTGCAAAAAGCATAAGTACAAACATATTAGGGCATGAGAATGAAAAGGAAAGGTAATGTTATTGAAGCTTAAATAATTCATTTGTATGCAGACAAAAGAGCCACGAGTTGGGGACTCGTGACAGCTGAATCACACAAACACACATCCACAGGCTCACAATGCTGTCGTCTACAAGAGCAGCAACACGTCATGTGAGGCTTGATTGAAAAAGATGAGCTCTTTTGTTTTTGCCGGGCAGCTCTTGCACAAAATGTTATTGCACACAAAAAAAAAAACCTGAATGTTTTTGTTGAATATGTCAGAGTGCATGTTTGGTGGTGTTATCATGAAAAAAAAAAAGTCATTTTGTGTCACAAGGTGCCTCATTTCTAAATCCTCCATTACTCATTCTTACCTATTCACTCATATTAATCATGACTGAAGACCTGATCGTTATCTAATCTCTTCATACTCAATCTGTTCTTATATAAAACCAATGGAGAAAAAAAAAGACCTCTGGAGCAATAATCCTTCCCTCTGCTTGAGCTTAGAAGGAATATATATGTATATAGTTTTTTGACAATTTGTTTTCTGACATCATTATATTTGTCAGGTTTCTTTATTTGTTGATGTATTTCAATATTACATCATCGTCAAAATGGCTTTGAGAAGATCATATTCTCATAAAGTCACATACACATCAGCTATGTGGACAGCTTGGAATGTTTGAAATGTCGCTGTAAGGAAATTGAAGAAGCTTTGCACAGACTAAAAGCTTTTAAAATATGCAGATGAAAAATGAAGTGCTCAAGGCTGACCTCCAAATTTGATCAGTTAATAAAATACCTATTCTTCTATTGCAAAACATCTACTGTGTATAAATACAATTATTAGAATAGGAGTGGACAACTGTATTATAAATCACAACATTCCCTCCCAACCCTCCCCAAAAAAGAAGGTTGACAAGTGTAGATCATCGTTAAGGATAAAAAGAAAAAAAAATAGCACGCAGTTCCTAAACCAAAAAAAAAAAATTCCTGGGAGAAAAATGCTTGCTAATGCATTTCAGTGTATATTTAGACCCACCATCTTTAGCCCCGTGATGCATATATACAATAACCTTTATGGGATTGTGAGGCGCTTTGGAGGGGATTAATTGTGATTGCTGTGGCAGGGTTATGTGTTCAAGCATGTAACCTACTAAACCTCTGGAGCTAAAGCTGGCAGATGGGCAGGACGGGATGATAGAGGCACAGACCATGCTTCCATATTTTTCATGCAAAATCCTGTTTTCTCTGTGCACATTGATCGTGAAAGAACAACGTATTTACTTGTTTCCCTTTTGGTCAGAAACATCACACCTGTTTCTGTAACTCAACCACAATACACAACAGTGATTCCTCCACACCACAAGCTGAGCCATAAAGAGTCACTAACATTTGGGAATGAGACTAAGAAAGTTGTTTTTCAGAGTTTAAAAAATTAAGATAACAATAGGAAAAGGGAACTTTGTTATCACAAAGGCTGAAAAAAAAAAAAGTCTTCCTGAGTATTTCCTGTCTTGCACATACCTCGCTTTCAAACGGAAAGGGAGCAGTGGAAATGTGGAGAAAAACATTTTCTGGCTTTCCACTATTACTTTGCAACAGTTTGTCACTGGAGCAAATGAGCTGGCACAGAAGCCTTCTGTGCTCATTTGCATGATGTTATTTAGGGCTGTAGCACACAGAGCAGAGGGCAATAAACCTGGGGGGGGGGGGGCATAATGAAGGAAACTGATGCTTATCATTTTCTGTCCTGGATCCTTTAGATGCCATTTAGCTCCCTATTTGGGTGGGTGCTGTATAATTACACCATCAAACTGTTTTGTCATCATTTCTTTCTTTCTCCTTCTTCCTTGCTTCGAGACTTCCTTGCATGCATGCTTTCATCTAAAATTATTCTAGGACACATTGATTTTTATATATTTAAAAAAATGTTGGCAAAGAAAGGAAACATGAATAACAAAAACAAATTGTAATTAAAAGTAACAAATAATTCTAAAAAGTACAGACGTTAAGGTAAAAAAAAGTATCAAACAACATAAGATTTGATGTTTGACGTAGTGATACATAAAATCCTGAATGGTGGAAGACATTATATTATACAACCTATGTCTTACTCTGCATTCAAGCAGGAAAGAACAGAAAATTAAATACATATCCTAGCTTATGAAAAAAAAGAGTCATAACTCTTTTTATTTTATCAGAAATCAGAGGGTTTCTTTTCTCAACTAAATTGGTTTTCAGGGCCTTAGAAAAAGCAAACATAAAGAGTGGATGTGCTTAAGTAGAGTGACGTCATCACTAGAAGGTCCATGGAAAAGGGGAACAGGAAGTGACATCAGAATCTGCTGCCGGTGCAGTTAGTGGTGCACCACCTCTTTGTGCTTGCATGGCTGTTGAATCTGATGAAGAGGGGCCAGTGGAAGAGAGAGAGAGAGAGAGAGAGAGAGAGAGAGCAACAGATGGCCGGGGGATTACTCCCACAATCTCTAAGCGCTCTCTCTTCCTCTCTCCCTCATAATTCCACTACTCACGACACACAACCACTCTGCCTGCACTTCTATCATTTTAGTCCTGCAGGGCCTCAGTTTGTCATCCCTTGTGAAGATCTAGAAAAATCTCCTCACCTGCTCAGTTTGACAAAACAGAGTAAAAAAAAACAGGCTCTAAGTTACCTGGGTTGCTGTGATATATAGTTGTGTGGATTTTGAATGGTGCTTTATTCTAGGTAGTTCACACACTTAATGCTAAATAAATGCATCATCACTGGAGAAACAGGCATTCAGATGGCATGATGTTGCACGAAACAACGTCAAAATCCTGGGTTAATACTATTCAGCTGGCAAGAAAACCATGGATTTAGGAAGCACTGAGCCAATTCTCCAAACAGATAAATCTCATACAACTGTGTAGCGTCTCACTTTGAATCACTGCTACAGTAAGTAAGAGATGATTTATTAGATCAATAAGAGTTTAATATAGGTGAGAGAAAATGAGTATTCCCTGCGCTTTGAATAATTGGCATTGTTGCTTTTGTCTGATTTTATTCAGATATCAAGTATATCAGTCAAATGTATAACATACAAACTACACTCTGATGAACTCTGAGTCACCTTAAAGGCTTTCTATGTGATTTTTCACACTTAAATATAACAGAAATCAAGTATATCCTCTGAAAGAGTCATGACTGTCTACAATGGGTGTAACACCCGAGTCCCACTGTCTGTGATGCTTTCAGAGTCCTATCTTCATTTTGTTTACATCGGCGGGACGGCCGGCTGACTCCTCCCCTCGTGTATAAAAGTTGTTTAATTGAGGGACTAGAGAAAAGAAGAATAACATACTGAACTCACTGCTTAACTGTGTTTCTAGATCACGCTCATTTCAGGTAAATTTACATGCAGTGTGAAGATACGAGCATAATAAAGATCACTAGCATTAGCATGCTAACACAACAATGCAGCGCAAGTTGTTTTGTTTTGTCGCCCTTGAGCACCAGCATGAAAATGCTGATGCTCAAGGGCGACATCTGCTGGATCAAAAAATCACATATAAAGCCTTTAAGCCTGGGTGATAAAACCATTATGATAATTATCCTGATATAATTTTTCCCATTAAAAATATAACAAATGTTCAATAAAGGTTTGACAGATATAAACCTTTAATTACACCAGTGACATAATGGTACCCATGCACACTTTATCTACTTTTCTAAAGATTGTCTTGTGGGATTTTTTTTTGTTATTGGACAGGACATCTAAAGAGTGACAGGAAATGTGTGGAGGAGAGAGTGGAGGAGAGAGTGGGGGGGTAGACATGCATCATATGGTCATGGCAGAGAGTCCAACCAAATGTGTTGAGAACTATAGCATCTGCACATGGAGGGCCCGCCCCACCAAATGAGCCAAACCCACGACCCCAGGATTTACTTTTGGAGAAATCTGAAATCTTGTTGTTTTCAGTGTCCCTAATGCAACAACCGTTTTGTACCATATCCACGGTTTAATTTGTGCTTGTGAATTGTGATTTTTTTAATGTTTCACATACAACAAGCAAACCCATAAGTTGTATTCCTCTGTGAAATAGTCCACACACTGGAAAGAGGAAACCTCTGCCTGCGAATTAATATCCAATCACGGTGTGCATGATTTGGGAGAAGCTGACAACACTGGTGTCAGATAACACACATTGTTTTCACATGGCGTGCAGTGAGGAGAGGCTGCAATCCAATATTTAAATATTCTTGCAGGGGGAGAAAATATCTTCTTCCCCATTCCAAATAATATCCTACCCACAAAGTTGCACTTATCCTGCAACTAGAGACCCCATGGCTTCACTTTAGATGTATGAAGACTGACAAGAGCGACGGGTTTTGACTGGAGAAGAACATTTAAAGTAATGTATAATGTGACCATAACAAACAACAACAGCACAGTGGCACAGTGTGTCTGGGTAATGCAAGCTGAGCTGGAGTTACATTAGCTCTGCTTCTATTTGAATGCTCCACTTCTAAGGTCGGGAATGTTAAGTTCCTAAGAGGAGCCAAGTTGTCCAAAAACACTATCAAAAAAATGGCTTTTACTTAATTAGCATAAAAACACTGATCAAGCTGTTTCATGTTAAAAATCTGCGTAGAACACCTGCTCCACATGGAATTGTTATTTATTTTGAGAAACACTTATTCATGTTTGCAGTCAGTTACGTATTCTCCTTTGTTAAAGGAAGAATATGTGACTTTTTGATCCAGCAGATGTCACCCTTGAGCACCAGCATGAAACCAAAACAACTTGCGCTGCATTGTTGTGTTAGCATGCTAATGCTAGCACTCTTTAGTTTGCTGGTATCTTCACACTGCATGCAAATTTAAACGAAATGATGGTGATCTAAAAACGCTTACGTGGCATTCAAATAAGCAGTGAGTACAGTATGTTGTTCTTACTCTCTCAAGTCCCTCAATTAAACAACTTTTATACGCTAGGTGACGAGTGTAAACACTGTGTAGATACGGCTCTGAAAACATCACAGACAGTGGGACTCAGGTGTCACTCTCATTGTAGACAGTCATGACTCACAGAGTTATTTTCAGAGGATAAACTTGATTTCTGACATTTAAGAGTGAAAAATCACATATTCTTCCTTTAACGCATTTTTTAGATTTACATAAAGTGTAACCTGAACAATATTATAAAATGATCACATCACAAATCATGTGATGTAAATTGTAAACTTACAGGGTCAATACAGCAGCAGTAGTTGTTATTTATTTTATAAATGCACAGATAGAAAAGTGGACAATCTGAAAATGCAGGTTTCCTAATCAATATCAGGAAGGGAAAATGGTATCAGAGCATCTCTATGGCTAACGGCAATAACATCATCATCATCTCTGTTGACCCCTGTCAGGTCACATCATCGTCTTTCAGCTGCCCTCAATCAAAGTACTGTGGGACACACTGAGTGATGGACAACACACTACAACCACTCAAGTCTTTTTAGACCAAGATCAACTTTTACCACAAAAGCCTCCTTCTTCCTGAGCTCTTACTAAATCTGAAACATCCAGAGTTCTGTCACCTATGTAACCACGTGACTTAAACAGCATCTTTACACCTCATTTATTGCAGCATGTTGGGGTCCATGTGATCCATGAGTCCACTCAGCCCTGCCGTTATCCACAGCAGGAGTCTCCCCACATGTCCGCCTGTAAGGGCAACCACTTATCTGTTGTGTAAAGACATCACCATGGAGATGAAGCATCTCGGCTAGCAATAAATAAGCAACATTGTCAAGTTGAGCTATCAGCGAGATGAGTCACAACAACAACTAATCAAACTGCCCCCTGCCCAAGCACCTTTTTTTCTTTTTTTTTTTTTACAGTTATCTGTGGGCTGGATTACTCACTATGGAAAAAAGGGACCGTGTAGAAACTGGATAGCAAAAGGTCCCATTTAGTCCAATAACTCTTTCTAGAACCTTGAGGCTGAACTTTCAGAAGTAAGTGGGACTGCTACTGATTTGACTCTTCATGACATTTTCCCTATTTAGCTATTTTCAAAGATTAGTGTATTGGTCATTGGCTAACTTTCTGGGTTCATTGCTTTCAGGTGCACTCTTTTAAAGGTACTAACTGCTTTTCTACAAACATCCAAAAACATTTCAAGTAGATGATGTACAGTAAGTATCTATATTTTTAGTAAAGATCCAGCAGAGTTTCATAGAGGCACCACACACTTGTCCCCCGTACAGTGTTTGCCCGTGAGGACAATAACCAATATCATTTTGTGTACCAGGATGTACTCATGTTGATTTATTCTGTAAAAACAGGTATTTTTGAATGTAGTGTGTTCGTGACTTCCGGTGCTCCTTGATCCAGCCTCAAGCGGACCCTCGATGATCTGCAAGATTTTGCACTTCCCAGTGGATTCATTTTTTAACCCCGGAGGTTACAGCTTGGTTGTGGCGCAACATCAAACATCAATAAATGTCTACTTGATTAAAAGGGTGAATTTAAAAACATACATTTGTAACTTATCCCAGTATGTGTCTAATTGATGGAGAACATGATGTGTTAGCTTGCACAGTATTAGTCAAAGCGGCTTGTGGCAATGTTCCAAAATAAGAAACCTCTTCTTGGTTCAAATAGAAAACAAGAGACAAATAGCTGCATTGCAAATTAGACGACATGTTCACCATCTTTACATTTCCTCATGCCATGGATTTTTTATCTGAAATGTTGGGTCATACTTTAGAACCATTTCATTGCATCTGTAGCGTACACTGGCTCTCTCCAGCTCAATTAGCAGAAGGCATGCTCAGACCTAGACTTCAAATGTTCTCATTTTTAGATTGGTTAATGACTTCAATAGGGAGGAGGGTTCCTGCTATTAGTATTCCTGAGACGCTGGCTGTGACGAGCATTAATCAACATTGGCTTGGATAACATTTGCAAAGGCATTACAGCAACCTGAGATCATGACAGAAGGTGTGAGCTTGATTGTGCAGACTCATATGAATGAAGGTATTAGAAGGGTATTTGCACAGAATCAGCTGCGTCTGTGTCAGGATATGAAGCCTTCAATCAAAGAATTATATTTAAAATGAGGGGAATAGAATTTTTCACTCTAAATCATACAAAATGCTGCCTAAAAGTTCTCTTCTTATTGCCTTTTGTTTCTTTTTTAAAACTGTCTTTATTATTTTAATGGGCAAAACAAATTAAAGGGGTTACAAGATTTGGTCTTGTTTTTAAATCAGACACAACAATGATAAAAGGGATATGGTAATACAAAAAAGATCATTTTCTTGAACTTCATATATCGGTGTGTTTGACTGAAATGAAGGAAGTAGCTGTCGTATTAATTTCTTACAGTATGATTTTCAAGTTTTTTATTTCCTCCTGGCATCACTGGACCATATTTATGGGCAGCATCCTTATTGTCACAGAAAAAGATATTACATAATGTGCTTTGCAGCTGTTAAAAAAATGCTGCAGCAGTCAAGAATTGTCCTCACTTAATTCTCATGGAACCCAACCCAGCCTGATTTGATGAAGACATGTTGCCTTTAATTGGGTCTATAAGAGACATTTGACATGCACATAAAGTCAGTGGTTAAATTGTAGGCTACTTATTATTTGGAACCCATTTTAAAAGGTAATTTTGTTGGTATTAGGAATAGCATAAGGGAAATGCATTGGAGAGAAATGCTAAAAGATTCATTTAGTCACATATACTGCATCCTGAAGAAGGTATCTTGCACCAGGTTACGGTTTGTTGAATTTATATACCTTTATGATTTTTAGTAGCATAGTTTGGGGTTACGACATGAAATATACAGATAAAAATGTGTTCACATGCATTTGTCTTCCCTCTCTATTCTCACAGAGGACAGCCTGAGCAAACAGTTAGTGATACATCAAAGTGAATGTAGCTTCATCAGATCAGTTCTGTAAGCCCTGAACAGCTGGTGTGGAATCTAATGGAAACCTTCAATTCATCAGAAATATAAAAAAACATTTTAAACAAGCTCAAGTATGTTAATTGTTTTTTTAAATAAACATATGTAATCCCTGGATTTTTTAAAAAGGTCAAATCACGACAGGACAAATTGCAACTAGCCTCTGTTCAAGCAGGCTCATCGTTCCTCCTTGATTCGGGACAAACAAAAACCTGTCCTGGGAAGTTTAACCTGAGGCTACATCGCATTGAACTGAATAAACTCATCATGAAAAACTAAAAGTTGATATCAATGTTGACGACAGAAACATGAAAAAGAAGAGTAACTCTTACCTCTGACGCACAGCAGCGACATGGCAAAGCGCTCCTGTACTTTCAAACAGTTTGTAGAGCAGGCGTTCAGAGAAGATTTACTCCGTCCGGTAACGTTTTCATTGTTATATCACCTCTTCATTTCGCGGTTAACCTCCACACTGATATTTACAGGTGGTTTACTGATGCTGGACCCGGGCAGAGAGCTGCAGCCCCCCGCCACTGCCACGCCATTGTAAAAACTATCATCTCACAGGTTTACAGACTATCGAACAACCTGAGGGAGCAGAGAGTGAGGGGGGGAAGGCGGGGCCGAAGCACCTGTTACTGATGTCTGGTTTGTTCAATGAGAATACAGAACCGCGCTGGGGGGCGGGGGCGTTTACAACTAGAGGGGCCAATCGCTGAGAGGGACAGGTCTGGGTGACGCACACAAATCCCTGATGTATTTTTTTTTTAAACAGGTTTCCTGACTTTATTAGAAAGCATTTTTCTGCTTTTTTTCAAAAACTTAACTTGAGCATTCAACCTACTCTAACCACGCTACTTAAATGCTTTTAGACTAAATATATTTGTTAATGAGAAGAATTACAAAGCAAAGCATTTGACCTTTCAAGTTGTATTTTACTTATTAAACAGAACGCAAATTTGCAGTATCTCAGTTATTTTTTATATGAAAGTGTATGCCCCCTCATGCAATCTTTCAGGTTATAGTTATTTGATTCTTACTCTTTCAAGCTTCAGTTGCTACAAACAATTTATTTAAGACAGGTCGGGTCTATGCATTTAGCAGCCCTACCCACTTACCTGAAAATTAACAATTCATCAATTAAAATACATATTGCAATTTTAAAACATGTATCTACATGTCTCACCACATCACTTGATGACTGTTTCACTTTTTTGCAATTAAAAAATATTCAAATAAATTCTGAAACTGATCCATGCCTTCTTTGAATTCTTTATTAAGCCTGATGCAAAAGTGTTTTGCCATGTCATCAATTTACCAAGAGAACTCCAACAACAATACATTAGATTTTATTAAATCTCTGTTATAGTCCATGTTTTCCCCTCAGGGAGCTACACTGTTAGGCTGCATTAGCGACCGACCAAAAACAACAGCACCACCTTGCGTATTTAGTGAGTCATTACATAAGAGTCAAAGCATTTTTGGTTGTACAGGTTTTGATGTTAATTAAAGTGATAATTTGGCACTTTGGCAAATTGCTTTACCAATACATTACTGGGGTTATTTATTGTGTTTTCCTTTTGATTAAATATTGGGCTTCGGATTTGAGCGATCAAAGGTGCTGTGCATTTACAATAGTCAGGCTTCCAGTAGGCCGACTATGGCTTGCAGTATCTTGGCAACAAGACATCTTAACCCTGGGTCAATTTGACCCGTTTTCAAAAGTGAATATGTAATGTAAGGAAATTCTTCCATAATTCCATTCGCTCTTTGCAAGTAAAATTAATTGTGACTATTTTTGTTGAATTATGTGTGTTTTATTAAAATTTATAGCATCTGTGGTCTTTCCAGGTCAATTTGACCCGGCCACATTTAGTGGAGCAATGCGTCACATTATTGCGCTTTCCAGCACAATGAACACACACACGCACACGCACACGCACACGCACACACACACACACACACACACACACACGCACACACACACACACACACACACACACACACAGGACACGTCTGATGCTGTGTCCCTGCTATGTCAATTCTGTCAAACTCTCCATATAAGGCTCTGCATATAAAGAAAATGTAGCCTAATTGTAATGGGCACTGTAGAAGAGAAGAATAACGTTGTGGGAAAGACAAAAAGTGATTAAAAAACATACTAAAACTGTTTGGAATTACAAATTAACTTTCTTCTGTTGATTCTTGTTTTCTTTTCTTTATTTTGCCATTGAAATAGATCATCACTTCTCAACATAACTTCATGACTTTAATGCTTTAAACCCACATTACATAATCAATTTTGTACTGTACTGTTAAATGTTAGAATATCACATTGAATCAAAAGACCGTGTGAGTCAAATGCACTGTTTTATTTTATTTAGGATCTTGCTCTTAGGATAAGCCGCTGCTTCGTGCAAGCGCAATTCATTTGCAGTCTGGACGCGGAGTGGTGTGGGTCCAAAACACCAGAAAAGTCTTCAATAACACCAGAAAAAGTCGCTGGATTTGTCGCTAGTATAGCTTTTGACAAAAAAAAGTCGGCAAGAAGATTTGGAAAGTCGCCAGATTTAGCGAGAAAGTCGCCAGATTTTGCAATGCTGGCATTTCAAATTTCACTCTGAGACAGCATGATGAAGAGGACTGCATCACAGGCTCTTGATCTAATTGTTAGCCCTGTTGAAGAGGAGAGAGCTGAGGAAAAACCTGCAGAAGAAGAGGAGGTAGTGTCAGAGGAAGAGAACATCACTGAAAATGATGAAGATTATGCTCCAGCTGACGAGGAGGAGTGAAGTGATGAAGAGGAGCCTGCTGAAATTGAAGATATTTTCCAATCCAACGATGGAAATGTTCTCTGGTCCTCGGTTCCTCCAAGTGACCGAAGGCGCATGTTGGATGCGAAGAGGGAGAGGGGCCCCCGAGGACCAACAAGTTATGCCATTTCTCGTGCTGATAGCATAAAGTCTACATTTGAGTTGTTCATGCCAGAGGAAATCGAAAAGATAGTGCTGGAAATGACCAACAGGAGGGGACGTTGTGTGTGTGGTGATGATTGGAAGATGGATAAAACAGATCTACAGGGATACCTGGGTCTTTTGATCCTTGCTGGTGTCTACCGGTCCAGTAAAGAGGCTACGTCCAGACTATGGCAGGCTGAGTCTGGGAGGGCAATGTTTCGTGCCACCATGTCATTGAAGACTTTCCAGTGAATCTGGGTAGCCTGCGACGCACAGACCAGCTACGCCTGGAACATGCAAATGTACACAGGCAAACCTGTGGAGGGCCAGCCAGAGACAAACCAGGGCCAGCATGTGGTTCTCGAGGTGACAGAGGGGCTCCGGGGACACACCATCACATGCCACAACTTCTTCACCTCCTATGCCCTTGGCCAGGAGCTGCTGAGGAGGAAGCTGGCCATGGTGGGAGCCGTGAGGAAGAACAAACCAGAGCTTCCCCCTGCACTGCTGGTGACAAGAGGGAGGGCCAAATTCTCTTCCCAGTTTGTGTTCACGGACACGCATGCTCTTGTCTCCTACTGCCCCAAAAAGAGAAAGAATGTGCTTCTCATGAGCACTCTGCATCGGGACACTGCAGTCAGCGGCACGGAGGACAAAAAGCCCCGGATCATCCTGGATTATAACAAGAACAAGGGGGGAGTCAACAACCTCGACAAGATAAAGATAAATAAAGTTTATCTTTATCTTTATCTTTAAGGTAGTGCACCTTTTTTCATGCAATATTTATTCACACAGGTCAATGCATTCTTGTGTAAGAAAATAAGAATGAATTTTTGACTGATTTGTTGTTTGTTACTTTTGCTGCAGGTCACCAGTGTATATAGCTGTAAACGAATGACAGCCCGTTGGCCCCTGACGGTATTCTACAACATGCTCGATGTGTCTGCATACAACTCCTTCGTGCTGTGGAGAGAGATGGACCCGAGCTGGAATCAGGGGACGTGCCACAGGCTGTTCCTTGAGGAACTTGGAAGAGAACTTGTGACACCTCTGATGAGATGACGGCAGACACTTCCCCGCACGCCAGCCTCTGCCAGCTTGATCATGGAAGTCCAGCAGGATGCATCGACCTCTGCAGCTGCTCCCCCTCCCCCAGCTGCTCCTCCTGCCCCATCACCCAAAAGGACGAGTGACAACAAAACTAGCACCAGGTGCCAAAAATGCAATGCACATATTTGCAAAACCCATAGCATCGTTACCTGTCACTCATGCAAATGAAGACAAATACACACACACACACACACACACACACACACACACACACATACACACCTTGTTTTTCTGTTTTTCATTTTATGATGAAGCTCCACACACACACACACACGCACACACGCACACACACACAGTTTTTCTTTTATTCATTTTATGATGAAGCTCCACACACGCGCGCGCCAAATTTGGCTTGGGGGATATCCTGGCTAATGTTTGACATATACGAGTCAGTGGTTATCCAATATAACTAATCATTTCTGCTTATTTTATTCAAAAACATTGTACAATTTCATGTAAATTAAATGTCAATTCTTACAGTTTTTTCCAATTGCTAACACACTAAAATGACATGCATAGCACAATTATTTAAACTGACACACAGAGAGCAAAACCTCTTCTGAAGTCTCCAAAAGTCTAAACACATTTTCTGCTTTACACACATTTTGCAATTCAAAATGGCACTTTTTAAATGCACTGAACACGGTTCTCTGCATAAGACACAACAATCTGACATAAAGTCACATGTTTGCCATTTCAAAACACTGCCATTCAAAATGACACTACATGAGCTAATCGGCCAATGTATGTGCCACCTGGCCAAACACCTCAATGGTTAATTGTTATCACTTCAATCAGGAAGTAAGCACTCTGAAAAGACCACAAGTGAGCACCTTTTTTTTTACAACTTTCAAATGAAATCAGAGCAACCTTAGTTGATCATGTCATCAACCACGGGCTGACAATGTGAGAGGCTGGACAGAGAGTGCAGTCCAACTGTTGCACTGACTTGTTTGGTGAAAAATAAAAATATAGATGTTTCAACAGCATGTGTGTGTATCTGCAAATATTTCTGTGCATGTGAACAATCTGAAGAATTGTCTACAATTCAAACTATTTTAGTATTATGACAAAGCATACTAAAGGTGAGAGTGCTTTTCATTATGACCAACAGTGTGTAGTTGGTCAGACAAAAATCTGGTAATATGAATGAAGTGTGTGCCATTTGGTGCAAAAGTTAGATTTTGATAATGCTATATGTAGTTTTGGTTGCAGTACTTCAATTTGCAGGATATATGAGGTATTTTGCAGTTTGGGTGTGTGGTTTTGTGAATTGTGTTAAGTATTTTAATAAAACCAGCCTAGTTTTCAAAATTGTGTTTTAGCAATTGGAAAAAACTGTAATAAAAAGAATAAGAGGTGTAAAAGAAGTTTAAAATATGTGCTAATGAGTTTGAATGAAGTTGTCTAAAAGTATGTCACACAGAATGGTGTGATCATTTTGCACTTTATGCTTTATAAAGAGTCAAACTAGACGCTGGGAG